GAAATATCTAAGATATATCCATAACAAAATCGTAAAATCATATTTGTTTTAAATTCACTTTCTGATTATTAAGAAATTTTAAACTCTATCAGAGCAATGAACCATTGTGCGATTTTTCTTCTGATCGTCTCATGATTGTGAAACTGAATTGTATGGAAGGTCGAAGCATTTCAGTATATAAGTTAAAAAGAGATCAATCTAGAGGTGCCCTGTGAGCGAGAAACCACTTCTGTTGGCAATTAAGGAACTAACAAATGTATATGAGCATGGCAAGGAAGAAGATCTAACTTGTTCTTTGTTATTATTCCAAGAAAAGGAGGATACTAGTAAAACATACTCGCGCAATATATGGTATGAGCATTCCGTTCATCTAGTTATTCTCTTGTTTTTCCTTCTCCTATTGACTTTTGAAGTCAAGGTATTAAACGACAAAAAATTTTACCAGAATTCACTTATCTGTAGGTATTCACTTCTGTGTAGGTTGAACAAGAACGTGCCACGACTATTGGTCAACATTGAAGTTGGTTAGCGCGCTTTTTTTGTCCCCATAACGGTTTAACCGTTCCTCGACTCATGTAAGTACTTGCACACACACGAACATCGTATATGTTTTGCATCTGATTCGTTTGAATCGATATTCTTGCCCACACAGTCGTAGTTTAATCACCACGTTACAGAGATTAATCGTTTGCTAGATACGAGAGACAAGTTATCAGGTAATGTATGTGTGTCGTGGCAAATTTACATTTACAAATGATAGTAACATGGTTTACATAGAAAATACGACATTAATTAAAATATATTATCACTTTTTTGGTAATATAATTTGAAATTGCTTTTATTTTTTTTATTTCTTGTTCAATAAATAAACATAAAAATTGAATAATTTTGTATTTTAACAGATATGATCATATTATACAAAATATATTGTAAGTAAAGTTACTTATAACTTTTTAAATAATTTTAAATAATAAAAAAAAATTTAACGTAATTATATTGATAAAAATAAATTTATAAAATATAACAGCATGAATTAAATTTCTCAATTTAAATCTTATATATTTTTTGTACTATCACTTATAATATTTTATTTTATTTGTATTTTCACTTCTATCGATTTATATTTTTCTCATACAATATAAATTTATATGTGTTTCTAACCATAATAATCGTTGCCTCTCTATTAATATTAATCCTTTAAACGAATCAGACAAAAACCTCTACTAATTTCATATATTCATCTTGAGGCATTAATCCATATTTACTCTCTAGATTACTTTCGATTTTTTTTCTACTTGGCTTCATCTCTTTTTGTTTAATCCTATCATTACAAATGATTAGCTACATTATCTGGAAGCGATACAATATTTATCATTTCTATAACTATAGAATAAAACCGAGAGCAACGATGCAAAATAGTAACGGTTTTCTGCAGGTATACGTTTGAAAATATCCTTCAGCGCTGCGAAACGATGGGGCGATGTTGGTAGCGGCAACCCCGCGCCGCTGCTTGTACGAAGGTTGCGTGGATTCGGAGGGATGGTAAAGAGTAGAGAGGCACACGCAGAAGAGGGAAGAGGTCGGGTTGTGGAACGGATAGAGCGGTAGTGGCTCTGGCAGCAGCAACACGTAGTACACGGTAGCACCGCGACGAGAACGCACACGGTTTATACCACGTCGCTTTAGTAGTCGGTAGACTCGCTTCGAGCCAGTTTCACTCGGTCCAGTGGCGCAGTCGCGTTACACGTATATATTTTTTTCGTATCTTCAACTACTACCAGCATCATCACTACTACATCACCATTACCAATTACTACCAACGTCGTTGTTACCACCACCTGCACCATTGAGTGTGTCAACATACATACGTAAACGTCAGCAGGATCACCGAGTCATCGGGTTGCTCCTGGGAAATAAGTTACAGAAGAAAACGTATATATCTTCGAGACGGCGCGAGGTATGTAATATTTATTATTTGTTTTATTTCCTTCAAATTCTTCTTGTTTATAACTGTTAATGTTGATCACGAGCGTGAAAATGGTGGCTCTTTTATGTGCGCGGGATTCAGTAGCGGAAGTGATCGCGCGTCGTCGATGAAGACGCGACAAATGAATGTTCCTAGAATACTATCGTGCTTCGTTTCTATACTCTCTCCGTATATTCCTCATCGATTTTCCTCGACAAGACCCGCCCTGTAATTTACTGTTCTCTTTCTCTCTATAGATATCTTATTGAGTATTTTATTTCGCGCCTACAATTTGGAATCGAATTTTTCTATAAAACGTTAGTGTAAAATACAAAAATGCTATAGAAACACAATCATAATTCTCTCGATTATTATCGAGATGAGTTTTCAGATCCTTTTTTCGGCAAGCGCGCGCGTGTTTGCTGTCGACGATCGATGGACTCTATCGGCTTCTCTCTTTCACCCTCTATCCACGAATCGTGGCTGGTCGTTTCTTTTTAACATAATATGCTTGCTAGACGGTCTTTCTCGATGAACCATACGTCTTAAGTATCGATTTTCTATAGAATAAGAAGATCGAAATCATTATTGAGCATACTTTCATAAAAGATTTCTTATATAAATACTTTATAAAGAAAATCAATAAAATTTGTATTTGTTAAAATTTATTATTAATTCATTTAAAAATAATTTTTTAATATTTTTATATTTTTTATTTTTTAACAACAAACAATGTGTTTTTAATATTTTTCTTTATCTTTTTTTTCTCAAATTTGAAGAATTTCTAATTGCATTTAATATATTTGAGACATAAAACTTTTTGATAAATGATTCATGAAAACAATTAATATGTTTTTCAAATCCCCCATATTTCGATTTTTTTTACACGTTATTTTTCTTATTGAAAACAGACATCGATCTGCATCTCGAATTACAGGCAGCAAATCCCATGAGTGGAAAGAATTCATTAGAAGGAACTTTGCCAACGTTTTGAGTACACATTTCGATCGATAGTTCGAAAGTAGTTTTAAGTTTTATATGAGAAATCGAATCTTTTGTTGGAATTGAAAATAGCTCTGAAGATAGCTAAACATAAAATGTGATGTATCATCAAAATTTCTTTTAAAATTTTAATTTATTTATATTCATATTTTTTTCTTATTTTTTTTAATTTTTTTTCTTAAGTATCTAATATAAAATGTAATTAATCATTAAAAAAGAAATGTATAAATATTATGATAGTCTCTGTTTTATATTCAAATAAAATTTCTTTATTTATGTGACGTATTTCATCTCCAGTTGTCTTATAAAAATACGAATTTCTTTATGTTAGTTAATTTCAAGCAAAGCAAAAAAATTAAGTAAATTATATTGAATTTTATATTATTTGAGTAATAACAAATATTCAGTATATTTGATTTAGAATTTTAAAATAAATTATTTAAAATACAAAAAGATCTATCTATATGGTAATACTTTATATGTAATGATACTCTATAAAATAATTACTTCTTTTAACAATTTTTTAAAAGAAAACATATATTTAATGGATGATAGCATATTCCATAAAAACTATATTATATATTTAGATTATGCACATTGACATACTACGTAGTCTCTCAGCTTTTTGCGCAACAAGGTTTAAACTTCTTGATATGAAAACTAATGTACGTTTATTACGAATAGGGCTCCGTGAAATAACCGATGATTAACGATTTTTTTTGAGCTATATACGTCACTTTCTGCATGTTTGTGTGTTAATTCATTAAAGAATATCGAGTAGGCGTTGTGATGTTGCAATAACCCTCAGGAGCAAATAAGTGGAGAAAAATACGTCGATCCGGATATCATTTTTTTTTCTTTATTCCTTCGGTAATTTATAAATTCAATTGCGTCTAGTTTAGACGAAAATGAGAACAATGAAGAAGTAGTTGTATTTCTTTTTGATTATTAAATATGTCTGTAAAATGAATCACAACTTGTTTTTTTAATGTGCGCAACAATATAATGTTTTTAAGAAATTTTTCTTCAAAATTTCCAAGCAATTTCAATGTTCGAAGAGCAAATGTTTTAACTTCGATTCAATAGATAGCATTTACAAGAGACATTGAATTAATTTTCATAGAAGGTTAGTAATTTAATGGAATAAACCACATTGCGTTAACGATAAATGATATTTGATTGTGGTAACATATGAGATTGAGAGACTTTAACCATAGATTTGTTGATCTCACGATTTAACTGAATGGCATTGCATTTATTATCCGCAAATGGCAAAAATAAATACATATTTAGAATTATTGAAATCTTCCTATAAATGTTTTTACCAATCGATTAATTATTCTTTTGATTTTATATAAAAAAATAATTTATCAAGTCACATGGGAATTATTTATATAAATTACGTTGTATTTTTTCTTAAAATCTACATTCATTTGATATAGATTACATACGATTTATTTTTATGATATCATAATCGCGGTATGAAAAGAACGTGGTAAAATTTCAGTTCTTGATAGAATCGATTTCAGTTCTAGACATGAACATCGAATATTCGCCGAGACAAAAAAGCGTATCTGTGTGACCGATACCGTGAGAGAAATTATCGTTGATGGAAAGAAAAAAAGAGGGTTGACGCGCTTCACCATCGCTAGCGAATTAAGTTACACGAGAGTAATTTGAGGGGAAATTGCGTGCAATATTTGCCATTGCCGTGATGGAATCATATTACGCGCGAGAAAGAGGGTGCGAGAGAAAAAGAAGAGAGAATACAGGCTTTGACACATGTGAGCAACTCGCGATGTCGTGTTTTATCGTGTCAGAATAGGTTTCGTGATGATACTATGACACGCATATTTTTCGCGGGATCTCGAAAGACTCGATTTCGCCCATAGAAAACTATCTCAATTTTTTTCTTTTTTCTTTTTCATTTCGTATACATACATGAATAAACGGATAGTTTGATGTATGAGTGTTGAAATGTGAGTGACATTCATTTTCTGATTTTTCTGTTTATCGTAGAGTCTACGTGTATCATTGGGTTCTTAGTATCATTGGACATTCGTATCTTCCCTATGCAGATTGAAATAAAATTGACTCAAAGTAAAATTGTGAAAATTTGTTCAAATATTTTTAATAATTTAAATTAAAGTAAAAGTTTAATGTTTATAATTTATTAAATTATATCATTTAGTAGCAAGCACAATTTTCAAATAAATAATAATAAATAGATTTTTTGTTTGCTAAATTTAAAATTAATTAAAATTTTGATACTTCGAAAGAAATATGTAAAATTTAAATATCTAAATACTTTTGTATATCAAATTAGTGCATTTAATTTCCAGTTATCCTGTATATTTTATCGTGTTATATTGTGCATTATAGCTGAGTTCGTGCACGAACACGACATTCTTAATGTCCATTAAGAATATAAATGCATTTAAATGTATCATGACCGTATTACCACGCTACATTTCCCTCTTTAATTAACCTCAATTTGCGGTACATCTGGCGACATAGTTGCCGCCAATTTGCTAGCATCTCATGTTCCCCGAGCAGTTTGTCGTATCGACAGTATCATTCGAATCACGCTGCTAAATTGTCAGCAAGACATATCGGCTTGTGGGAGGGTTGCGATCGAGGTCTATTGTCAGTACCATACCTAGATACCATATCACGCGTATAATCATAAAAGCTGCTTGTCGGGATATAGATTTCTATTGGGAAAAAAATATCTACAATAGTTTCGTAATTCAAACCGGACTATTTCTTCCTCTCTGGGCAATGAAAAGAATAAAATGATAAAAGATCCAATAAATAAAAAAAACTTGACATAATGTTAAGCAGAATTATTTGAAATTCAAATATTGGTTACTTTTTCATATTAAAAAAAAAAAAAAAAAAAA